TCCTACTCCTTCAGTATGAGAACACAGAAAGTGGCAAGGTTTGAATATAACACTGTTAAATAGAGCTTAACTATGGATCTGTAGAGGGGAAGAAATAATCGTGACCATTGAGGACAGGTGCCTTCCCACAGTAGAACATGCGGGGTATTCTTGTCTGGTCTTGTCTGGTCTTATGTCACACATGGCCTTGGACTGTCCTCCTCATCGTCTTCTCCTGTGTCTGCCTTATCCACCATTCTGAGCATCAGTTCCGCCACAAGCAGAAGCAAAGCTTTCTCTACCTGTTCGTCCTACCTCACTGTAGTGATCTTGGGTGGGTCTTAGATTTTCACTTGAACAACTGGGCAGATGGTGTCATCATTTGCTAAAATCAGCATGGTTGAGGGAAATGCACATTAGGAGGATGAAAATTAAGGATTTAATTTTTGTTTGTTAGTTTGGCTTATTGGTTAGTTGCATTTTGGCTAAACTGCTTAACATACTTAATAGATATCAAAGTGGAATGTCAAGAATCCAGCTGTATATATTACTTAGAAGTTCTAAGGAGAGGTCAGGGCTAATATTTGGGGTATATGTGGTATTTGGAAATAGAGCATTGGCATAGAACATATAAGGAAAATGAAGTGAAGAGAAGGTCCTGGGAATGAGCTCTGGAGCCCTCCAGCATTTCTGGTTCAAGTTGAGAATGATCCACCAAGAGAAATGGGAGCAGCAGCCATTGAGCAAGAAAGACAATCAGGAAATTTTTGTGTCACAAAATCCAAGGAAAATGAATGCTACAAGGAGGTCAGCTCCTTGAATGCTACAGAGGTCAGCTGTATTGAATGTTCCTGAAAATTAAAATAAGAAGAAAACAGAAAAGTTACCATTGGATTTTGCAACATTTGTTTTGCAAAGTTGTTGATGATATTGACAAGAGAAGTTTCAGCTAGCAAGAGTAGGATGAAAAAAGGATGGAAAGTGAAAAAGTGTAAAGTACAACCACACATGTTTATTGAGAAGTTTTGCTATGAAGGAGACTGAGAAAATGGAGCAGTAAGTTTAAGGGAAGTCAGAGGATTCTTTGTTTTTGCTTCTCACTTTTGGTTTTGTTTTGTAAGTAAGATGAGAGATACTAAAGCTTGTTTAGGCATTTGTAGACATGGTCACATAGATACAATGTCAAAATTGGAGGAGGATGGAGGCAAACTTTAAATCAGGTTTACCACAACTGATGGAGGAGAATTCCTGAAGAAGTTCAGAGGCTGGATGGACACTTATGGGAGATGCTGTACAGGGCTCAGGCATCAAGTTGGAGATTGTAATGAAATGATCCATGTGATCCTTTATGCTCTACAGAATCCTGTGATTTTAGAAATAAGGCTTACCTGTTTGCATATATGTGAGAGAGTGTGGGTAGGAATATATGAGCGTGCAAGTGTATAGTGAGGATCAAGTTTTGTCAAACCTGAGGAAGCCCCACACTGGTCTCTGGCTAGCAGAATCATTTATAGGCGCTCCGTGTTCATCCCATATCCTCCTCTTTCTCCAGATCACAACAGTGGCAGGAGTGCCAGGGGTCCAGATAATAGAATACTTCTGTTTCCTCATGAGTACAGATTAGTCCTCAACTCCCTCGGGCCCTCATTACTTAATCTCACTCTTTAAGAGCCAGCCCAGGATATGGGTAGCAAATGGAGAAAGACTAGGAAAAAAATGGTAAAAGTCACACAAACTGGCCAGGAGTCCTCCTCTGAACCAAAAGAGATAAAGGAGAAAGAAAGAAGAAGAAAAGGAGGATGGCCAAAGCTTTGTAACAGGTACTGACTCAAACCAGAGCCCATGCATACCAACACTTGGGACTTTATCTAAAACTAAATACAAGGTGACTATTTAATTGCATTACACACAACAGTTTTCAACTGGATGGGAAAGAAAACCAGCTTTTCCCAAGGCCTAACGGAGTGCTTTGAGCATCCCATGTCATTCATCTCTCAGAGTGAGGCAGAGGGCAACAACTCAGGTCTCCAAGTGTAGAGCTGGACCTAACAGTCCTTCTCAGTCCTTCCTAGCCCACTGGATGTGAGGAATCTTACTAGGCAACTGTTCCAAACCTTTCATTGCACAGCACAGGAAACTGAGCTCAAGAAGCAGCAGCAAGAGTGCCTTGCCAAACTCACAAATGTAGGTCATGACAGAGCTGGGATGAGATATGTACAAGGCTGAGCAGTTTGCCACTTTATTAATTTGTAATCTGTTTGTCCTCTCCCTTCATTCAGTAAATGAAGTTTAAGATTCCTTTGGCACTGAATGGAGGGGGAGCTGTAGCTTCTGGGTGGGCAGCAGAATGGAGCATTTCTGAATTACGGGAATGAGTGAGTTTGGAGTATTCTCTGGTGGGAGATTTCCTAGCAAAATGCCAGGATCTTAAGCTGAAAGTAATTTTAGAGATCATTTAGTTCAGGGCCCCATCTCTAAGCAAGACCAAATCTGTAGAAAGCACAGTCTAGTCACATATCTCCTTAGAATTTTTCAGAGATAAAGCAAAAGTCTGCAACTCTGCTTTCCATTCTTGTCATAAAATAGGATGTTTTTGAAAGTTTTTATTATTTTAAAGCCTAAACACCTGTTTTTACGAAGATTTTACTCAGAGGTACCACAGAGTCTGTAACTAGGGTGAAAAAGGTAGAAGAAAGAACATTTTTGATACCCCTTTTTGCCCATTCCATGAGAGCACAGCATCCTTCACTTTAAGACATTCTCTTCCCTTAAAAAAGCTTCTTTCTTTCTTTCCTACCAGGGACCTTTCAATACAGAGAAGCCCTAGCCTCCAACACTTCCAGTGGCCTCAGAATCACATCCTCCAGCCACTTTTCCTAGACCACAAATTTGAGATTAAAGAGCTAGTAGACAGAGGACAAGCAAAAGGCAGAACAATGAATAGAAAAGAAAAACTACTTGAGCCATTTCCATTCTCCAACTGAGCATCTAAGACTCCTTGTTGAAGAAATGGCTTCTCAGACCAGGTTGAATTTTGTTAGAGAATATACAGGGCAGAAATGGACTAGGAAGAGGAAGAAGTGCATATGTACGTTGTTGGAATTGGGCTTAATTAATTGCTGAGTTTGAAGCAAAGTAGAATTATGGATGACATATTACCCCCTATAAAGATATTTTTCATTGAAAGTGTAAAAACCATATTTTAAAAAATGTAAAATCAAAACAATTGTTCATGCTGATACTACCCTAATAACTCAGCTGTTTGTTTTTCTGTTGTTAATCCCACATAAGCCCCTATTGTGTGCATATTTTTGCACAATTTAATGAATTTATACTAATCATGTATTCTGATCTTCTTACTAGATATAATGAATATTTTCTGTTTCTGTGTCTCCTCTATAATTATCATTTTAATCATTAGATAACATCCTGTCATGTGTTTCTATAAAAATAGAGTAGCTATTCTCCAGTTACCAGATCTTTTAGGTTGACCCTTGCTTACTGTCTTGAAAATAAACCTGGACTATGTATTTTCACGCATAGCCTTTTCATTCTTTTGAATTATATGTTTAAGATAAATTTCCAAAAGAGAGAGCTTAGATTGCATATTGCCAAAATTATTTACCAAATATAATGCTACCAACAATGTATAAGGTCATATAAGACTCACCAAATCTTGCCAGCACTGGGTATCAAAATTTAAATAGTTAACTTCCTTACAAATAGATGTAGAACAGTATCGTCATCTGGCTTTAATTTGCAAACAGAGTGAAGATTTCCTATATATATTTCTAGTATATGCATAGGATTTTAGGCTAGTCACACATTCACCACTTTAATTTTGCCTAAGGAATTGCAGCAGCTAGAAATCATGGCAGAGAGAACCTGCATACAGACAGGCCTTTTGAGTAATTCAGTGCTAGGTGATGAATCCCAAAGGGTAAATACTGTGGGACAATATGGAAATAAGGGAAATTTTAAAATATTGAGGAGACAAAAGAGTAACATAATACATTAGGCAGAAATTGGAGAGACTATGCTGTACCCAGCAACATATTTAGACTAAACCAAGAAGAATCAATAGACTTGTTAAAGATCGTGGGCTAGGTAAACTAGTTCTTATCAGAAACAGAGTTCTTACAATAATAAATTACTTTTGTTCTGCAATCAGGTCTACTCCATTAAGAATGTGTTGTTATCCCTGTTTTTTCTGGCAATATAACCAATTCTCTCTGAGGTGGACTGACAAGTCCAAGGTTCTCAAACTAAGCCAACTGGTGTTGGAATTAGGACCAGAAACCAGACCTTAAGGCCTTTTTTTATATAGTTTATCATGGAAACCTTGGGAGATAACTCAAATGAGAAAACAGACTGCCTGAATAGTAGCTGAGGCTCACATCAGGCTCTTTTGACTCTTTGTACAGCCCCATTACCAGCCATTCAGCAGAGCCACAGAGACCTCAAACTGGCCCTTTTCTTAGAAAAGGACACAGGCCATAGAATGTATGTGACATCTCACTGCCAGGGCAGCTTATGGTCTTACTCATGGAGTTGCCTATGAACCATACATTTATTTATTTCATTAATTCTTTTACTTATTCAATAATCAAAAATATTTTTATGATCCTCTATATGTAGTGCATTAAAAATAGAACAGACTTGTGTAAAAATCTAGCTGTCTGATTTTTTTTTCATTTATTCTGTAAACTTTACTAAGTACCTACTACATGCCAGGCCCTTAGGGTCTGATACAATACCCAGTACTTGGATGCTTATTAAATATTTTCTGAACAAATGGGTATTAAAAGATTAAAGAAGCAGTTGTGGAGGAGGGGCTTTGGAATGCTACATGCCTCCAGAGTTGAAGTAGTGATGGGGATGATGTGTGTGACTCAGAGGGTCACATTTTTGGCTTCATAGTTTTTATTTTTACTTTTAAGCTGGAAGTCATGTTTTTCATAGGAGAGGCAGTCCTGTTCATCTGGAATGACTCAACTGTATTATATTTCTTTTTAGGGCCAATGTCTCTAATCATGAAAAATCTCACCATCATTACTGAGTTTGTCTTCATGGGACTTTCCAGGAATCCTCAGATCCAGACCATGCTTTTTGCACTATTCCTGGTGATGTACCTCTTAACTCTGATGGGGAACCTGATGGTGATCTTGGTGATCAGGACTGATTACCACCTTAAAACACCCATGTACTTCTTCCTAGGTCACCTGTCATTTCTGGATCTCTCCCTATCTTCAGTAACCATGCCCAAGATGCTGCAGAACTTATTAACTCAAAAGAAAACCATCTCTACGTGGGCCTGCATGACCCAGAGTTTCTTTCTCATGTTCTCTGGGACCACAGAGAGCTGCCTACTCTCTGTCATGGCCTATGACCGCTATGCTGCCATCTGCCACCCTCTGCTCTACAGTGTGGTTTTGAACAGGCCTCTCTGTGTCGGAATGGTGATTGCAGCATGGGTAATGGGGTTCCTAAACTCGTTGTCAAACAATCTTTTCACTTACAACTTACATTTCTGTGGGCCCAGTGTCATCCCTCACTTCTGCTGTGAGCTGCCTTTACTCTTCTCTCTATCCTGCACTGATCCTGCTGCCAACGAGGCCTTTCTTGCTGGGTCATGTGCATTGTTAGGATTTTTAACACTTTCCCTGATCCTCTTCTCTTATTCTAGAATCATCTCTGTTATCATAAGCATCCATTCTTCTGGGGGTCGAGAAAAAGCCTTCTCTACGTGTTCCTCCCACCTCACTGTGGTGCTTTTGTTCTATGGGACAGCTTTATTTAGGTACATGAGCCCTCTCTCAGGCTCCATGTTGGAGCGTGTGGTCTCCATTCAATACAGTGTGATTACATCCTTGCTGAACCCTCTCATTTACAGCCTCAAGAACCAGGAGGTGAAGACAGCCCTGTGTAGAATGTTGAAGAAATAAATGTGCCTCTTTGTGTATGAAGGAGTCATGGTGTGTTTGGTCTGAAGATAATGGGAAAACATAGTCAGGGGATGAGGTACATTAATGGCTAACTTGATCACTTTAAAAACTTACCATTTGATGAATATAACCTCTTGGGTATGCTTTAAGTATGTGATTGTTTATTTTATTGTATTTGGTAAAAAAAAAATAAAGTGAAGACAAAAATAGGTACTGGGGTGGAATAGTGCAGAGTCCAAATCTGTTTGTCTTGCTCAAGAGTTTTCAAAGTAGTTTGGCGCTCTAAGTATTAAAACAAAACAAAACACAAAAAGATGGGCACGTGAAAGGCATTTAAGGCATTTCAAAGTGAGTACTGAGTGAAGATGGTATTGAATCAGGGTGGTTGCTTTATCCACCTAACCTGGGGGAAACCTAAAAAACTGATGTGCCTGATTAGAGTTACTAACTTTCTAGTTGCCAAAAAGTAAAGACACAGATTAACAGAGACTACCCTAACCCATTCAGAGGAACAGGAACTGTTTCGGGTGTGCTGGTGGTGACATTTTGAGTGTCTGGGATGGGATCTGGCTGTTTGCTGACTTGAGAGCTCCTTGGAACCCGAAGTGGTGAATGTCTATGCTCTCTCAAAATGATGTTTTTATTCTACCCTGAGAATGTCAAGTCAGTTAATTCACCTGGTGTCTGACAGTCCCAGTCAGCCAAACCCCTCCTGAGCCCACTGCCGATTGTTGCTTGACACATATTCAATCAAATAAACTAATTTTTTTGTCAGAAAAGATTCACGGGTGAGGGGACAATAAGCTCAAAACCCAATGTGTAGGCTGATTCACATGGCTCCTTTAATGAAATACTTAATATGCATCACCATGTTTACCCTTATAAGCATTAAACAAAAGTAAGATTTTTTTCCCTTTGGCATTTTCTTAATTTCTTAGAACTCAATAAATATTGTTGATTTGTTTTATACTTTTATTATGAACTCTTAATCTTAAATATATGATAAATTCTATAAAATTAGTAGAGGAATGTATAGTGGGTGAACAAGACAAGTACTTTTAAAGATGTAAATATTTAAAAATCATTTTCAGAAAAAAATATATATCATTTTGAAGTATACGTCTAACTATGGATAATGGTTATGTATCAATAGTAATTACCTCTTGAGTCAGTTATTCTAAGGATTTGTTAAGAAAAAAAGGGGGTTTTGTACAGAGTGTGGCCAGTCATGCCCCTCATGTGGAGCATCTGGTTCTCCCTTAAGTGATCCAATTTCAAGATATAGTTAGGAGGTAGAATTAACATGAGTTAGTAACTCTTCAAATAAGGGAAGAGTTAATAATAATATCATTGTGCTCCCCTATTTTAATATTCTTAAGAGAAACTCTCCACAGTGGATCTATTAAGATATACTTTATAGTTGTGGGAAGGGCATCCTTCCCTAGACCAAACCCTAATAAAGGATATGAGGTCACTTAAACTGACATCAACAGTATGTCATCTGCATCTTGCAACCACTCCCTTTTTCATCTGCGTGTTTGAGAGATGGGTCCAATGACTAATCTATACTCAGTCTCCCATTCCTTAGGAGATTGAGGCAGTCACTGGCACAAGCTTCCTTGTGTGTCTGCCACCTGCTCCTTTATTCAGTTCCTACTGAAGACTCTTGTGCAGTAAAATCCATGGTGGACTGCCCCACCAGCCTCCCACATATACAGTATGAATTGTGCAGTAAAAACATGCTTACACTCGAACTGTGATCCCTCATCTTGTCACTCTCATTCCCCCCTCCTATCCTTCTGATATACTTTATGATCTTGATTTATATGCCAATTTGCTTGCATAAATATTTGTATTAATTTACAGTCCAACCAGTAGTATATTAGAGAGTTGGGCAATGTATATCTGCCAGGCCTGAGAATAATTTTTATATCATGTTTAATATTTATCAGTTTGATAGGCATAAGATGTTAATTCTTCCACATATTTGCATTTCTTTTTTATTTGCATAAATAATATTTAGTATTTATTTATTTGCATAAATAATATTTAACATTTCTCAAATTTTTTTTTACATTTTTATTGATTCATAATCATTTTACAGTGTTGTGTCAAATTCAGTGTTCAGTACAATTTTTCAGTCATACATGGA